CTACCCCCGTCGGTACCCGTTGGCCCTGCTACCTCCTGCACAGGCAGCGCCGCCCGAGCTAGCTGAAGGCGAATGGCCGTGGTGCTCGAGGGCTGGGCCCACTGATGTTGAGGAAGCCTTTAAATTCTGGCATGCCCTGGTAGAGGGCTAACTTGATAGGCTTTGCCAGCTGGAAGATCACAAGCGGTGCAGAATGGCCAGAGGCAGGGGCCTGCAGGCGGAGACTGTTCCCCTGATCCAGGAGCGGGGGGACACGCTGAAGGAGACGTCCAGCGCCGAGTACCGCAAGTGGGCTGGCCTGCTGCAAGAAGGCGGCCACTCTCCGTGGCCAGTTGGGCAACGGCTGGGTCAGGTACTCCCGCTTTGAGCGCCAGGTCCGCTTAGTGCGCGCGTTCGTGTTCGACAAGGCGGGGTGGCCGACGTCTGGGCCGCTCGCTGCCTGGGGCCAGCATTCCATTGCGCGCGCATTCCAGGAGCTGGACTTGCACGATTACCACGCCCTCCTGGTCGACCTCCGCGACCACGTAGCCTCCATCCAGAGGAGGGACAAGGCCAAGCGCAGCAAGGAATGGAGAGAGTGGGCACAGGACGCAGCCACCAAGTCAGGAGGCCAGAAGGCATACTGCTTCATCAAGGATGGCAGCCTGATCCCGTCGACGGCGATCGTGCACGAGGACGACAAGAGCGACCCTGGCTTCCCAGTGGCAGGTGATGCCGCCATGAAGGTGCTGATGAAGGAATGGGGCAACCTCTGGGTCCACCCTGACAGGCAAGGGGGCTCAGACCCACGGCCCTGGGCGAGCGGCGCAGGGGGCGCCTGGCATGACCTCCCGCCCATCACCGCCATGGACGCGCTGGACTACGTGATGGCATCCTATGGGGAGGGCGCAGGCCTTGGGCGGGACCGCCTGCGCCCGCGGCAGCTTCGGTGGCTGCCGCGCCACTACCGACAGGCGTTCCTGGACATCGTGGAAGCTTGGGAGAGGCAGCCGACGATATGCTCGCTGTGGATGCTGCCGGTGGCCTTCCTGCCGAAGCCCCCGCCTGGAGGTGTGCGGCCCATCATCCTGGCCAGCCTCTGGACTCGGGTCTGGTCAAAGCTGCGCCGGCCTATTGTTGCAGCATGGAGGCGCAGGATCGACCAGTCCTTCCACTGGGGCACCTCCGACCGCTCGTGCGACAAGGCTGGGTTCGTGCACAGCGCGATGACAGCCTTCGCGAGGAAGACAGGTATTCTATCCAGCACCCTGGCGATCGACCCCACGAAATACTACGAGATGATCAGCCACGACGAGCTCTACGACCAGGCGGTCGCGACGGAGTTCCCCACGGTGCTGCTCAGGGCCCTCTGCTCGAGCTACCGCCCCCCGCGCAGGGCGACGCTGGGCAGGGGGGTCGGGCCCATCATCGAAGCCAACGGCGCCGCGGCACCGAGCTGCTCGTGCGCGCTGGGCGTCGCCAAGCTGCTGGCCTACACCTTGCCTTGCTGCGCAGCATCGCCAGCGGGTGCCCTCTGGTGCGGGCCCAGAGCCCGGTGGACGACTGCCCCCCCCAGGCAGTTGGCGCGGCTCGCCTGGTGGGCCGCCAGCTGCCCCGAGCGGCTCGCGACCTCTTCGAGGGGCTGCCGCAGAGGCGCCTCGAGACCAACCTGGGCAAGACGGGGTGGATGGCCACAGATGCGGAGCTGGCTCAGGAGCTGGACCGCCACTGGTCGGACCTTGGCCTGGCCAGAGCCTCGGGCACGAGGTGCATTGGGGGCGACGGAGACGCCGGCAGCCGGAGGCGAGCACCAGGGCCGGACAAGAGGCTCGCCCGAGCCAAGAGGGCAGCAGACAGGATCGAGCTGCTGCAAGCCGCGGGGGCCAAGACGTGCCACATCTTCCGTGGATCACCGTGCGCCGCGGCGCGCTGGGGATCGGCGGTCATTGGCCTCGCAGACGGTAAGCTGAGCGGGCTCAGGGTGCACGCGCTCAGCGCCGAGGGCAGGCTGGCCCCTGGCACTTGCCTGGCCTGCAGGGTGCGCACCATGCCGAGGGCAGCCGTCAGGGGCCCGTTCGTGGTCGACGCGGTGGAGGTGGCCAAGGCGTGGCCCTTCGCAGTTCGAGACGGGCTCCTCCAGCAAGAATCTCTTAGAGTGGTTCACGCTGACGCCGCGCAGCTGCTGGGCGTCGACAGGCCGCGGAATAGGCGCACTGACCCGGGCCAGGCTGCCGTGCTCAGCCTCGCCAGGGCTGGCTGCCAGCTAGCTCGGCACAACCTGTTGCTCGATCATGGCCAGCGCCAGATCGACCTCGATTTTTATTCGCTAGGCGCTGTCTGCCAGGCGGTCCGTGCCTCTGCCTGTGCCGCCTCTGATCCCGCAGCTCTGAGGAGGATTGGGGGTCCTTGGGTTTCTGAGCCCCACTGGGGGCCTGCGGCGTTGGCTTTGGCGAGAACCTCAGAGCTGTGGACCACGAGGCACGTCGATGCTTTCCGATTTGTCAATTGCGGGGCCCACTGGAGCCAGAGCGGGCTTCACGCGAAAGGGAAAACCACACATCCGTTTTGCGTGAAATGCGGGGCCCGTGGGACCCCCTGGCAACGTTGTTTCGATTGCCCTAGCACGGGGGAGTTTTGCCCACCAGAGCTGCTCAAGGCGGCTCGCATTGCCCTCAGAGAGGGTGAGGAGTGCGGAGAATACGTTGCCAGAGGCTTTCTGCCCTCGCCGACGAGTGTCTTTCAGGGTCGTGATATCCCCGAGGAGGATCACATCCGCTTCGTGGGGTGTATGCCTGGATGGCTCTTCGAGGGAGAGGTGTTTGTGGACGGTTCATCTTTTTCTACCCAGCAGAGTGGCCTGCGCCGCGCGGGATGGGTTGTCATCAGCTGCAACGATGATGGCTCGTTCAGATGTGGAATGTTTGGCGCCGTCCCCTTGGCATGGTCTTTGGCGCAGTCCTCAAAGGGCGCAGAAGATTATGCGTTCCACGTGCTGCCGCGTTTCTCGGTTGGCCCTGCGAGCGACGGGCCCCTGGTTGTTCAGACTGCGTTGGGGCCATAGGCTGTGCCAGGAACGCCTCGGAAGCGCTGAGCCCCATGAATCCCAACGTACATGTTTAAAAGAGCTGGTGGCGGAAGCACGGAGAAAGTGCGAGTTTGAGGGACGTCAAGGCATATTGGTCGGCATATCAGGATGTTTGTTTCGATGCATGGTGCAGGCTTGGCAACAATCTCGCGGACCGCTGGGCCCAAACAGGGGCCCTGCTCTGGAAGGTGACCCCCCAGAAGGTCCTCTTCCTGGAAGCCTGTGAAGACATCGCTGCCAAACTCGTCAGTTGGATAGGTCTTGTGCACGTGTCGGATGTTGTCCTTGACCTAGAGTATGGTACTGAAGATCGTGACGCCGCGGTCCCCGAGGCAGCCTTCAGGACCCGCGAGAGGCTAGACTGGAGGCTCGCCGCCCCTGCCCCGCCGCCACCCGAGCCCGGGCCCGAGCCGACCGATGTTGGGGGCGTGGATGCGGGGGTGGTGTCTGGGAGGCCGTGGCTGTTTCAAGGGCACTCGGTGGTGAAATGTGATGAGGAAGGTCCCGATCACCCGTGCTTGTTTTTTGCAAGTCCTGCGGGGCCTCGCTGGCCCAGCGAGTGGTGCCTGGGAAGGGCACTGCTGGGGCCTGCCAGGGCCCGAGGCACCTTGGGCTTCGCTCCCAGAGGTCCCGTCTCCGCAGGCACCTCCACCCCTCGGCCCTCCATCCTCCTCCGCGGCTTTCTGTTTTTAGAGGCCCCGAGGAGGAGGACGTCTTGTGGCTCCAGGGGAAGCTGGGGGGGCCTGGCGGTGGTGTTGGGCCCTCGGTTGGGGGTGGGCCCTCGCTGGGGCCCGCTGGCGGGCCCCCTGGGTGCCCTGCGGCCTGCGGCCCCCAGGCAAAATAATGATTTACTATCAGTACGTTGGTAGTGGTCACCGTTGATGGTCCTGGGCGTGTTGCTTCCGGACTCGGGGGGACTTGGGTTAACCTCGACAGTTTCGGAGGTGGATTGGCAGGTGATTGATGGCGGAGGTGTTTTTGCTAGTGGAGGTGTACGATGGGCCGGGCATAGTGTGGGGTTCTTGGATAGTTTACGCCGCTGCGGAGGATGGAGGTAGGAGAAAGAAATGGAAAAGTTAAGTTTAGTGCAGTTAAGTTAAGTTAATGTTAAGTTTAAGGTTCAAGTTAAGAAGAAGAAAGAAGGAGACGAAGAAGCAAACAGAAGAGAGATGCAAGGAGAAGACGAAGCAGAAAAGAAGGAAGAAGGACGAAGAATGAGGGAGAGAAGATGAAGAAGAAGGGGGGGAAATTGGAGGAAGAAGCCCGCTACGAAGAAGAAGAAGAAGAGAGGAAGCAGAAGAAGAATCCTCCTCCTCCTACATCATCCCTCTACCCTCCCTCCTCCTCATAATAATACGTCCTTCCTCCTCCTCCTCCTCCTCCTCCTCCTCCCCCCCCTCCTCCTCCTCTTCCTCCTGGAATAGCCGCCGCGGTCGAGGGTCCAGGGTTGCGGGGGCGTTGATCGCAGGAGAGCGGGGCCGCCGATGGCGATCGAGAGTCGAGGATCCAGGATGGAGCTGCCCGGATGGTGTTGCGCGCCTCTCCTGGCTTCCGGGGGGCCCACGGTGGGGCGCTGCCTCGAAGGTCGCGCCAGAACGCGCCCCAGGACGCGTCCAGGGGTCAACTTTGGACCCCCGGCCCCGAGTTCCGAGGAGGCAGAGGTGCCCATACCGCTGCCCCCGGCTCGTTTTCCCTTTTTGGGGGCCACCTGGGAGGCCCTTGTCGCCACCGTTGGATTCTCTTCGAGGTTCTGGTCAGAACGCACCCCAGGAGAGGTCTGGGGAGTGGCGGTATCGGTACCCACTGGTTCCCCCACGAGTTCCGACGCATTGAAGAAATCACGCGGCGTTTGGTTCACTGTCTTCGGCTTCAGGCGACCCTTTTCGGGCCCTGGGACAGTCAGTGAGCAATCCGAGATCAGCAACCGGCTCCTGGGAGTCCATAGCCATTTTTGCCAAATCAAGAGAGGTGAGCGGCCTGCCGAAGAAGTCTGCTGCACGCCACCCCAGGTGGGAGTGTGGCACACGATCAGATTCATGCGCAGCGCTTGCGATGTCAGGCCGCGAGGCGTTTGCCAGGCTGACGGAACCATGCTGGTCGTCAAGAACTGCTTCCTGGAGGTAGTGGACGACATGTCTGGGCTCAGGCGCAGCAGGAGCGAAGGTGATGTTCGGATCTCAGCCGTGGGATGCCCTGCGCGCGTCGATGGCTGCAGCTCGCATGCCCCTGGCCACGAGCCTCTCGCGGGCCTGGTCTTGGTCGCCGCCGGTGGCCGCCGCTCCGGGGTGGCGCTCCGCGACGGCGGCCAGTACAGGAGCAGTGGATGCTCCGACTTGGCGCCAGGCAGCTCTCACGCTGCGAGCCGCAGCCCTGGACGCGGGCAAGAGCGTGAGGTCGTCGGGCACGGGGAGGCGAAGCGCGCGGAGGGCGACAAGGAGCAGCACGCGGCCAGCATATGCGTGCCGTGCTCCTACCACGCGTCGAAGAAGGGCTGCGCGAGCGGACTCGAATGCCACTTCTGCCACCTGCCGCACGCGATCAATAGACGCAAGACGCGGCCCTGCAAATTTGTGAGGATGCAGGTCAAGCAGCACTTCGCGACGCTGGACCGCATGCCTCAGGGCGACGGCAGCGCCGCACGGGGAATGACCGGCAGTGGCGGGTTCGCAGTGGTGGGCGCCGCGACCAGCTGTTACAGGGAGTACATTGCCACAGTCGTGAGGGCGAGACTGCGTAGCTAGTCGCAGGGCGGGGGTCTGTCATCCCGCCCTGGGCCGTCGCCTGACGTCGTGACATACCTAGCTGGGCGTGGCTGCGGGGGGAGATGTCCGCTGAAGCGAGGAGTGCACTGTGCCACAGGCACGTCTGCAGTGTTCTCACGCGAGCCGGTGCCATTTGGAACCCAGGCCCGTCGAGTACACAAACGCCTGAGCATATTCGCCCCCCTTCGCCTCCTGCGCTGCCTCCTCCACCCTCGCCTCCTGCATGCCTGCCAGTGCTGTATCCCGTGTTTTAGCGGATTGCCGCCCCCGCGAGTGGGGCATGATGCTCTCGGCCGTCCGATCGGACGTGCGCAGCACGTCTTGCCGCAGCCACTCCAGCTGGCGCGAGTGAACTGAGAGCCGTGCCCCGCGCTGGGCCGCCGTGGATGCGGCTTTCTTCTTGCAGCAGCAGTCTGAAGTCGGGCCTGTCCCTCTACAGGGGGAGTGTTCCAGAACAGTCAAACGAGCAGTTTTGGGGCGATCTGGTGCGTATTTTGTGGGCCGTTTGAGGGTATGTCTGGAGTCTGTCTACGTACCCATCGGTCGTTGAAAGTAGGTATTTTGGGATCCCCAGATCCCAATCTACTTCAAGCGCCTTCCTACCTCAAGAGTCGGCATGCTTTTGCTGTGTTTCGTTATTCTCTGGGAGGGCCTGGACCCCAATCCGCTTTCTCCGCCTTCCTGCTTAATGTTCTTACCTACTTCTTCCGACCGACGTGTCATTTTTCTTCGTCCAGAGTCCCCCGGTAGGGGGACAGGCCCGACCCAACAGGTGGCAGTCCTCCCCCAAGTGTGGCCTGCTCTCGCTCCGGGCTGGCGAGCGCAGATGTGGTGCGTATTTTGTTGGCCGTTTTGGGGTATGTCTGGAGTCTGTCTGCGTAATTTTTCTTCGCCCAGAGTCCCCCTGTAGTGGTGGGCTTGGTTTCCACTACCACCACCATACGTAGGAGGGGGGGGGAGTCCTCCTCCTCCTCCTCTTCTTCTTCGTCCTCCTCCCCATCCTCCACCTCCTTCCCCCCGCCAACTTATAGTGGTGGTGGTGGTGGAAAACAGGCCCGTCATGTCGGGGGACAGGCCCGACCCAACAGGTGGCAGTCCTCCCCCAAGTGTGGCCTGCTCTCGCTCCGGGCTGGCGGAGCGCGCGCCGCCTGTGTGCCGAGGTCGTCGGACGTGCTCGCCTCGCTCCCCCTCCTGCCCGACCCCGCCTCCTGCAGGCCACTCGTCGCGCCTCCTTCTCCTCTTCTCTTGCTCCCCTCCTATTTTCCTCCTCCTCCTCTCCTCCGCCTACTCCCCTCCTCCGCCTCCGCCATCCATCCTCCTCCTACGTCCTCCTCCCCTTTGCCCAGCATCTCCTTCCTTCACCATCATCCTCCTCCTCCTTCTCCTCCTCCTCCTCCTCCTCCTCCTCCTCCTCCCAGTCTTCAGTCGGGCCTGTCCCTCTACAGGAGGAAGCTTCCAGAAATTGTGAAACAGCAGTCTGGGGGCGTTTTCTCCCAACCATCCTCTGGTGTTGGGTCCTCGTTTTGAGGAGACGGTGGCCCGCGTCCCTCCTCTCCTCCTCCTCCTCCCCCTCCTTCCTCCTCCTTCCCCCTCCTCTCTCCTCTCGTCACCCTCAATTTGGCGCACCCCTCACACGGTTCGTGCCCCCATACGAAGCCCCCCCAAGGTCCCAGTGGTGCAGTTCGCATGGCGGCGCCGCCCCATTCTGGCGCACCCCTCACACGGTTCGTGGCCGCATAGCGAGCTCCATCTAAGGTCCCAGTGGTGCAGTTCGCATGGCGGCGCCGCCCCATTTTTGCGCACCCCTCACACGGTTCGTGGCCCCATAGGGAGCTCCATCTAAGGTCCCAGTGGTGCAGTTCGCATGGCGGCGCCGCCCCATTTTGGCACACCCCTCACACGGTTCGTGGCCCCATAGGGAGCTCCATCTGAGGTCCCTGTGGTGCAGTTCGCATGGCGGCGCCGCCCCATTTTGGCGCACCCCTCACACGGTTCGTGGCCCCATAGGGAGCTCCACCTACGGTCCCAGTGGTGCAGTTCGCATGGGGGCGCCCCCCATTTTGGCGCACCCCTCACACGGTTCGTGGCCCCATAGGGAGCTCCACCTACGGTCCCAGTGGTGCAGTTCGCATGGCGGTGCCGCCCCATTTTGGCACACCCCTCACACGTTTCGTGGCCCCATAGGGAGCTCCATCTAAGGTCCCAGTGGCGCAGTTCGCATGGCGGCGCCGCCCCATTTCGGCACTCTTCTCACACGTTTCGGAGCCCCATAGGGAGGTCCACCTAAGGGCCCCATGGCGCAGTTCGCATGGCGGCGCCGCCCCCTTTCGTCACACCCCTCCCGCGTTTCGTGGGCACATATAGAGAGCTCCACCTACGGTCCCAGTGGCAAGCTGCGCATGGCGGCGCCGCCTCAGTTTGGCACTCCTCTCACACGTTGCGTGGCCCCATACGGAGCTCCACCTAAGGGCCCCATGGCGCAGTTCGCATGACGGCGCCGCCCTATTTCGGCACCCCCCTCACTTGTTCGTGGCCCCATAGGGAGCTCCACCGAAGGCGCCAGTGCCACCGCCCGCATGCGCCACCCACACCCATGTTGTCACACCCCTCCCACGTTTCGTGGTCCCATAAGAAGCAAGGCCCCAGTGCCACCGCCCGCATGCGTCACCCACGCACATTCCGGCACACCCATCACGTGTTTCGTGGCCCCATAGGGAGCTCCACCGACGGCGCCAGTGGCTGCGTTCACATGCGCCCATCGCACCCATTTCGGCACACCCATCACCGTTCGCGGCCCCATAGGGAGCTCCACCGACGGCCCCAGTACTGGCTGCGTTCGCATGCGCCCACCGCACCTATTTCGGCACACCTCTCACGCGTTTCGTGGCCTCATAAGGAATTCTACCGACGGCCCCAAGGGCTGGTTTCGCATGCTCCCACCGGACAACTTTTGGCACACCCCTCACACGCTTCGTGGCCCTAGAAGGGAGCTCCTCCGAATGCGGAGCACACAACAGCAGTATTCACAATTGCATCTGGTTGGGTCCTTCGCCAGGCTCATTTTTTGTAATACCATGTTTGGCCATTTTGGAGCAGCCGTGGACTATGTTTCAATTCTTCGTCCAAACTCCCCCTGTAGGAGGACATGCCCGACTTAACTCCAGTCTGAGCCCACTCCTGCAAGCCATTCGTCTCGCTAGTCGAAGACGGAACAGATGGCACAAACACCTACCGTCGGACGTCAGCGCTCTCGCATCGGCACCTCGGGCGCCCCCCCTGGCGCGCTCCAATTTGGTCGATGTGCGTGATCTGTTTTTCGAGCGACTCTCTGCCACTCCACATCCAAACTCGGCAATAAGACGGCCCCAGCTGGGCAGACCGCCGCCTCAACCATTCTTATATGCACCGAAGTGGACAGTGGCCTGCTAAAGCTGCCGCGACTCCACCCCGCTGCGTGCGATAAGTCCTGCTCGCTTCTGAGAGTCATCTCCTGTAAAGTGTATCCTCTGGGGTAACTGTGTGCCGCAGCCCGAATGGCAAGTGGCGCACCCCAGGCTACGTTTTCCCAGTTCAGGCTCAAGTTTGCCAGAGCACGGAGGTGCCGCTACTGCTCCTCCCCCTCCCCCCATCCCGCTCCTCCCCTCGTCCTTCCTCCTCCTCCTCCTCCTCCTTCTCCTCCTCCTCCTCCTCCTCCTCCTCCTCCTCCTCCTCGCACGGCTGCCTCTTTCGAGCCATACCCGGGCCTGATAGCTGCCTTGCCGCCTTTTGCCACGGATTTCACGTGTGTGCCCTGTGCTGCGTCGCGGTCGTCCCCTTCCTCTTCCTTCTCTTGTTCTCCCCAAAACTTGCGGTGGAAAAGTGCGGAGGCGCCGTTATCATCGAATATGTGTTCTCCCGCTGCGACGGCATTTGGAGTTCACCTTCTGCGCTGGATGAGCAATGACACCCTTGCGGCAGAAAGCCGTTGACAGTTGCCCCCAGTTCACGATTGGGGGCCACGATGGACTGCCGATTTCGGGGGCCTGGGCTCCATCACCGGGCGTATAAACAATGCGCGTATACATGTGAGCGACGCAAAAAACGCGGTCGTCTGCGCCGCCGTTCGTGCGTAAGGTGCCCGCGTAAGTTCGCGCGTAAGCGCTCTCGTCTCCAATGTGGCGTGCCGCGCCGGCGGCCCGCGTAAGCCGCCGCGTAAGGTCGCTACGTCCTCTCGCGCAAGACCCGTTCTTGACCGTCGCTCATGTGACATATGACTGGACGTGTGTTGCCAGCAGGGGGTCGAGAGTTTCGGGGCCGCACATTTGCATACAGAACAACATCCTCAGTTTGATCACCCTCAGTTGATCATCCTCAGTTTGATCATCCTCAGTTTGATCACCCTCTTCTTGATCATCCTCAGTTTGATCATCCTCAGTTTGGTCATCTTGATCATCCTCAGTTTGGTCATCCTCAGTTTGATCATCCTCGGTTTGATCACCAGCACCAGTGTCGACACCGTCACGCGTCGTGCGTGCTCGGCTCGAGGAGGCGCGGTGCCCCGGGGAGGGTCTCTCTGATCTCCGTACGTCCCCGCGTGTCCTGGAACGTCGCGGGAGGGCAAGTGCTCGACCAAGATCGTGGCCCGCCGAGGGATCGTTTTTTTGTTCGTTGCTTTGCCGATCGGCGCGGGCCCCAGAACCCCCTTCCCCCCCCCCCCCCCCTCCCATGGAGTAGATCTTGGCTTTTATTGGGCGCCCGTTTCGAGCGGGTGGAGTCTCTCCCCCTCACGGGACCCGCTGCCGCAAGCAGTCGCACCGAGCAGAGGTCCGGAGTCAGACCCCCTCCCCCCCCCCCTTTCGCTCAGTGTCGACACGCCGAATAAAGCCAGTTGTCTTATTCGGCGTTTCGACATTGAGGGGGTGGTGCAATAGATATGGGCCATGGGGCAAGTGTATTGCAAACGTACTGCGCCAGAGAATTTTACTGCACTGCATTGCAACGAATGCGTTGCACGCGAAAGCCCAGCAATCCACTTGCGCACCGGAGCGCATTGCACGCCCCAGATCTGCTGCAGCCCCACGGACCTATTGCACCAGATCTACTGCACCGCCCCCTTCTCCCTGGACCCCATTCTGGGTCAACCAGAAGAGCGAGGAGTAGGGCCGGGCCGCTCAGGGCGGCGGGGCGCCTTGCGCTTCGACAGCGCGGCCTCCTTCCCAGCTAGCTCCACGCCCTTGGCGTCCAGGGACGCCTTCCGGGGGGGGGGACTGAGGCGCGGCACGCTCTCTCGAGGCAGCGGGGGGGGGGAGGAGGAGGAGGAGGAGGAGAGGAGGAGGAGGAGGAGGAGGAGGAGGAGGAGGAGGAGGAGGGAAGGAAACAGAAGAAGAAGAGAATAACTCATACATAAGAATAAGCATAATTAATAATACTAAGAATAATAATATAATATTTTTACTTCTTTTCACTAAGAAATACTTTATTAAGAATGATTAAATAATAATAAGAGAAGTAGAAGAAGAAGACGAAGAAGAGAAGATAATAAGAAGAAGAGGAGGAGGTGGAGGAGGAGGAGGAGGAGGAAGAGGAGGAGGAGGGGGAGGTGGAGGAGGAGGAGGGAGGTAGGAGGAGGAGGAGGCGGAGGGGAGGAGGAGGAGCAGGAGGAGGAGGGTGGAGGAGGGAGGAGGGAGGAGGAGAGGAGGAGGTGGAGGAGGCGGAGGAGGGGGAAGGAGGAGGAGGAGGAGGAGGAGGAGGAGGAGGAGGAGGAGGGAGGAGGAAGTGAGGAGGTAGGAGCAGGAGGAGGAGGAGGAGGAAGGAGGAGGAGGGGAGGAGGAGGAGGAGGAGGATTGAAGCGAGGCCGCCCCCCCCCCCCGGCGGAGCGATGATGTCACGCGCGGTTCCGCTCGTCGCGGCCTGGGTCGAAGTACTCTCTCCTCTCTCCGGAGGGCCAGCGCGCGATGGCGCTGAGGTCGGGTGACCGACGGGAGGGAAGGAGGAGGATCGGGCAGGAGGCAGGAGGGCAGGAGGGGGGGGGGGCAGAATCACGAGGACGGGAGGGGCGGGGGGGAGGGGGGAGGAAGGGGGGGGGAGGAGGACGACGACACGAAGCGGCCAGGAGGAGGAGGAGGAGGAGGAGGAGGGAGGTATGAGCGAGGATCAGGAGGAGGAGGAGGAGGAGGAGGTGGAGGAGGAGTGAGGAGGAGGAGGAGGAGGAGGAGGAGGAGGAGGAGAGGAGGAGGAGGAGGAGGAGGAGGAGGAGGAGGGAGGAGAAGGGTGAGGGGGCGAGGGGGGAGGGGAGTCCCGCCGCATGCCCGTCAGACCCGCGCCCCTAGCCGCGAGGTCCACAAACTTCCGACGTCACGTTTTTTGCGGTCGTGTCGCGTGGCCCCCTTGGGCCTTTTCGGCCCCGTCCAGACCCAGGAGGAGGAGGAGGAGGAGGAGGAGGAGGAGGAGGAGGAGGAGGTGGTGGTGGAGGAGGAGGAGGAGGAGGAGGAGGAGGAGGAGGAGGAGGGGGAGGGGATCGTGATACCAGAAGGGCTGCTGAGCAAGAAGCCAAGGGGCTCTTCTGGCCGCGCCCTCCCGTCTGTCTCTCGCCAGCGGTGCTGCCAGCGGCGTTTCCTTATCCCGAGAGGGCGTCTCGAATTCGTCGGCGAGCTCCTTCGTTTTCTTGGCGTGGCACCTGCAGTCGAGCGGGATTAGTAGGTCGACCCTGCCAGCTCAAGGGGACCCTTGTGTCCTGTGCCTCGCGACCGCTGCCTCCTGCATTCCCACGGCGACGTGTCCCTCGGAAGGGTCTTGTGTCCTCTCGCGTGCCCTGCCCGTTTCTTATCCTGGCGGAGCGTCTTGAACTCGTCGGCGAGCTCCTTCGTTTAGACACGAGGACACATCCATGGCCCCATCCACAACCCGAGACGCCGTGGACGTTGCAGCGCGTGTTTGCGCTCGGCGTCGTCGCTCCGGGCCCGCTTGGCCCCGGTCTTCGCCTTCGCCTGGCGGGCGCAGGGCAGGCATCCCTCTCCCCAGACCTCCTCGAGTCATGAAAAAATCACGACGGGAGGTTTTTCCCTATTTTCGGCCTCCAGGGGCCCTCACCGGGTCTCGGGAGCGTCAAAAAACGACTCAGGACGAAAAACCGGTCCTGGGGAATGGGTCTGGACCTCTGGGGGTCGCGTCATGAAAAAATCATGACGTCGGGGGTCTGGGTCTCCCTCCCGCCCTCAGCCCCCGAGCAGCACGCGCAGGCAGTGATTGTTCACCCATCCGGGCCACAACGGGCGTCATGCCCCCCCCCCCCTTTCCCCCGTGGTATCCCCCCTCCGAAACGTAACGAACCCCCTCGCCTTAGTGGGCCCCGGAAACGGCAAGGCCGTTTTGTCACCGTTTCCGAAAAAGTGCCCCTTGAAAATGGAAACGGCAAGAAAACGGCGACCGGAAACGGCAACAAAAACGGCTCCAGGATTGGAACTGGAGCGGGAACCCGTAACAAAAACGGCGACGGAACCGGTAAAACAACGGCGTCGGAACCGGCAACAAAAAACGGCAAAACGGAACTGGCAATAAAACGGCCCTGTCGTTTCCAGGGCCCACTAAGCCCCTCGCCAGTGCGTCCCCAGCACTGCCGCAGTGCGTCCAGCACCAGTCTGTGGTGCCAGACCCGCCCGGTTCGGGGGGAGGGGGGGGGCCTTACGTGATGCCCCCCCAGCCCGCTGACCCCCACCCCCCATGATGCCCGTTCGCGCCGCGAGTAAAAACATGCTCTCATATACTGGAGGGATGCACGGGCAGAACGGGGCGGAGGATCCATCCCATTTTGGGGACAGTTTGCACCGCTCAAGGGTGGCCCCACAGCCTTCTGGTCGGCAGTCTTGTGCCTCGGGGCCATGATGGTGGGCGTCGCGGTCTCCTCGAGCCCGGGCGCGCGGGCCGCGCTCGATCGGGCCCGTGTTGTGGCGGCGGTGGTGGGGCGGCGGTCGGAGCTGGTGGGCTGTGGGCCGGTGGTGGGCTGCAGTGGCGGTGGTGGGGCGGTGGTCTGTGCCGTGGTGTCGTGTGAGCGTGGCGCAGGGGCTGCGGGGCGGGCTGTGGCCGTCGCGCGCACTGCGCGCGTGCGCTGCGGCGGGCGGGTTGGCCGGAGGGGGGCCAGGGCGGGGCGCGTGGGCGCCCCAGGGCGGCTGGGCGGGCGGCCCGCAGCCGCGGGGTCCCGCCCTGCCGCTGTGTGTCCTGGTCCAGCCTGGCCCGTTTACCCTTTGGCCGGACTATTTTGCTCTTGCTCTGGCCACGGGGCAGGGCAAACACTCCACCCTCCTACCTCCCTCTTCCCCTCCCGTCGCGTGTCGTGTGGCCGGTGCCTCCTAGCCCATGGGGGGCTGCTGGAGGTTGTCTTTCGGTCAAGTGGGGTCTTCCCTCGCTGCAGCATGCGCTTCCCTGAAGCCGCTTTTTTTTTGTGATTTGTGTATCGTGTGTTTTGTGGGATATCTATGTTGTATGTGTGGGGTGGGTTGGTTTGTTGCTTTGTATTTTTATGTGTATTTGTTGTGTTTTTTTTTTGGATATTTGTTTTTTTGTCGCTTTTTTCTATGTTGTTGTTTTTGCTTTTCTTTTTTTAATTTACACTCTGTTGGTGTTGTCTGTGGTGTTTTTTTCTTTCTTGGTGTGTGTGTTCTTTTAGTGTGTGCTGCGTTCACCTACCAGCGTGCGGGAGTTGAGTTTAAAGATAGACGCTGGGCGTCGAGGCAAGCGGGGCAGAGGCATGTCGCGGGCTTTTCCGGTCCGATTGGGCTGGATGTTGATAACTAGGACAGAACGTGGCGCATTCTCGCTCGCAGGGTTACTAACATTGCGAGCGCGCACGAATAGTCAGACAAGCTTGCGCCAGACATGGCACATCAGGAAGGACATGTAAACGCGTGAGGCACATTGAACAACACATTAGCGAGCTAACGTGCCAACACGAGACAACGCCATGAGGCAAATTTGGCCACACATGCTATACATTTTCACACAGGAGTGCGGACAACTCCTGACATCACATTACGCATGTAATGTCAACATCAACAACTAATGAACAGACAGTGAAAACAACCCGACCATGAAGACACGAAAACACGTGAACACATGAGTTGAG